ACCTGTAACGACTTGTTCTCTCCTCCTTGTGCATATATTGAAGCCACATGCAGCAACTATACAGTTGCATATAAATAAACGACATATGATATATTATTAGTCAGCAATTGAGCTCATTCCACAACACAAACAGTTCTAATAGCGCCCTAAACAGCACACTTACCTGCGTTAAAAGAGGGTGAAGTCCACTTGACAGCAAGGAAACCAACAAATAAACTCACCACTAGGGCTTTTGTAAAACTCCCCATTTTGTTTTGTTACTAACTTGTTCTGGGTTCACTCCCTGCTTCTGTAACAGGTGTCAATACGTGAACTCCGTACCAACAATTTGTTAAGGAACGAATGTTATAAACCTGCGCTACCCGGAAAAAAAAACGTCAGGACCTGTGGGTGTGGAAACTGGCGTCAAAAGTTAATCAATTTGACATGATAAGGAATGGGGGGTGCGACTGACTAATTTGTATATATCGTTCAAAGAGAAATCAGTGATACAGAAGCAACTTTAAAACCTCCTTCACTACAATACACCAACTTTATTAAAAAGTACACGGTCTATAAATATTACATATTTTTGATAGGATTTGAGATAGTTTTGCATAATTCTCGTTATATTTTCAATATTAATTAATAGTAACATTCAGGTTAATTACAAATAATGGTACCTGCAACGCCATAACTAGATTAGCATTGCTAATACACCAATATTAACTTCACAGACCTACCTGCCCCTTTTCTTGGACATGCTTCCAGAAACTCAAAAGTAACTGGTTAGAAAGAAAACAAAACAGGAATAAAAACAAAAAATGATGGGCAATTGTTTTGTTTAGAAACCATTAACTTTGAGTAAAAACTGAATTATACATGACAAAACAACAATAATTTAAAAAGTGAAACGTAAATTATAGTTGAGGGAAATCTATAGCTTAACAACACAAATGCAGCATCATTGTAACAGTTTTACTTTTTAAACATCTCTCGTCGTCGTCTCTGCTACAGCCACTAGGTGGTGTAGTACCTAATCATTGGCCCTGGATGTGCGCAATAGAGAGATACACGCTTCTAACTTTTAATGTGAAAATTATATTTCTAATACTAAAGGTTTCCTGAAAAATGATTAAATTTAAGTCACTAAATATATTTTTTACAAACTTTATATTTTAATAAATAGCGAGTTAGAAAAAGGCGAATCTGCTGATTCATAAAACAACCCGTTTTGAATCGTAGCTTTATTAACACAGACAGGGTTGTCCTTCAGTGGTGTCCAGCATCCCACGTCGTTCTGTGGCGCTGTCAGAACCAACGGAACAGAAATATACTCATCGCTGTCGGATATGGCGGCTAAGATTTTGCCCGTGGTGAAGTTAGTATATATATATATTTTATTTTAAGTCTCCTCACAATTCCGTTACATTTGCAGGTCGTCCATACTAGTTCCTTTTGTCAGTTAGCCTACCTAGGCTAATCCTTATTTTCTACTTGTCCTTGTAGACGTTGTCTATTAGTGTTGCAGTTGTTTGTCAATGTAACAGAAAGATGTGCGTATTGTTTACTAAATGCATTCCCCATTGTGTTTAGACGAGATTTGTTTCTTTTTAACTGATAGCTAAATGATGACCACTCATGTTAGCAGTGCACTGTGGCAATGTTTAACCTGACAGTTCTTTCCATCTGTGTAAACTGTAAACATTGGATTTCTAGCCAACAACACCACGTCTTCTGTACTGTTTTACCCAGACTGGCTACTAAGGTGACAATTGCAGGAGGAGCTCTGTATGTTGCCTGTGACTCTGGTCTCCTGGGCAGCAGTGAACAGGGTTCGCAGGCCCTGGAGAAAGTCAAGGCTGCTTTACCCCCTGCCATAGAGGAGTGGATGAAGTACTTTGGAGTGGAGGTATTTTTGTACTATGTTGCTGAAAACAAATTTATAGATTGACTACTTGCAAAACTATAAGGTTCGTTGTTAGAACATTATATTGTCTAGCTCTTCTTTGAATTGTATTTAATTGGATAAATGTTCAAAAGGAAATTGTATTGGAATAGGGGTTTTCTAGTTATGAAACAATTTATTGCACCAATTTCACTTTGAATTGACTTTTGTTTATTACTGTCTTGTGATGGCATTAAAATGTAATCGCAACTGTTCTGTAACAAATCATTCACTTTTCCTCAGGCTCAGCTTCCGACCATGCCCACGATTGAATTCTCACCCTCAAAGACGTGGAACTCTGGTAAGGGACGAATCATGAGCTTTCTTTTTAAAAATGTATGTTCAAATTCAGTAGCGTCATGAGTTCATGTCTGAATGTATACATGACTGAAAAAAATCAAGACTAGGTTGTGGTGGCTTTTTTAATTACCATTGACTTCATGCCTCTGAGGTCTTTTTAAGATGAGTGAAAAAAGTCACAGAAGATTATTTTGAGTTACAGATACAGTGGCTTTTGTGTATTTTGGATGCTTGAAATCCTTCATTAAAATTTGTTTCATTGCAGGAGTGCGGTGGACTATATCAGCACTTTCAGAGGCACCAACGAGAGCCACTGGATACACATATCAGGGCGTTCAGTATCTAAAAGATCTCACCAAGTAGACACTGGACAGACGTCTATTAATTTCTTCCACTTTTGCACTTCAGTGACATCCTCCATCCATGACTCTATTTCTTTACGGAAATAAAAAAAAAACACCACACACAAAAGAACACCACCAGGTAGATTTTAGCTAATCTGAATTTTTCTGTGGTTTCCCAAATGAAAACATCACTCGCAGAGTAAATTATTGTAACAAAAGTAAAGACTCTTTGAAAAATGATCTTGTTTTCTGTGTAGTAGTTTTTTGTGTACAGGCTAAACAATACATATATAAATAAAAGTTGTGCATGCGTGTACCGTAAAGATTTTTTAATGTGGCATGTCCAGATACTTTAAAGAATCTTTAAGGTGTGTGGCTATGCCACCTTAAAAAAAAAAAAGTTAATACTGTATATACTCTCCTGCTAAGACCACACAAGGTGGATGAAGGTAAAAGAGGAATGAATGAATTTCTCTTTTTTTATATAAAAAATATCAAACCACTGAAGTTTCAAAGCGAACTGTTTGTGTATCTTTGAACCTATCTTTGATCCTAATACATACAGTGGGTACAGAAAGTATTCAGACCCCTTTAACTGTGTCACTCTATTTCATTGCAGCCATTTGCTAAAATCAAAAAAGTTAATTTTATTTCTCATTAATGTACACTCAGCACCCCATCTTGACAGGAAAAAAAAAGGTAGAAATTTTTGCAAATGTATTAAAAATGAAAAACTGAAATATCACATGGTCATAAGTATTCAGACCCTTTGTTCAGTATTGAGTAGAAGCACCCTTTTGAGCAAGTACAGCCATGAGTCTTTTTGGAAATGATGCAACAAATTTTTCACACCTGGATTTGGGGATCCTCTGCCATTCTTCCTTGCAGATCCTCACCAGTTGCATCAGGTTGGATGTTGAATGTTGGTGGGCAGCCATTTTCAGGTCTCTCCAGAGATGCTCAATTGAGTTTAGGTCAGGGCTCTGGCTGGGCCAATCAAGAATGGTCACAGAGTTGTTCCGAAGCCACTCCTTGGTTATTTTAGCTGTGTGCTTAGGGTCATTGTCTTGTTGGAAGGTGAACCTTCGGCCCAGTCTGAGGTCCTGAGCACTCTGGA